AATTCTAAAGTTCTGCTGTGAAACATTTTATAATGATTTTTTTATCATTAGATGTTGTTAACATTAGTTGTTGTTAACACTAGGTGCTAATTTGTAGCAAAGTGTCTTTTCTAACAATGTAAATGCTTCTAGGTATTCACAAGTTAAAGTAAAGCCTTGCTGTTTTCTTGTCTTTGACTTTAAAGACAGTAAACATCATTACGTTTGGTAATAGTATTGACATTCTGTCATTATGCCTTGACCATCTCATGGAGGCATTTTTTGAAGAATTTTAAGAGTAAAAAGAGAAACATAATTCTCACAGATAATTAAAAAAAAAATATTGAGGAATAAAATTATGCCTGGATGAAGCATTCACAGTCTGAATTTTTTACAGATTCACCCACAGCCATTGTGTTAGAAACAACTGCTTTTTTTGTTGTTGTTTCAGTTGACACAATACCTTACATTTATATGAGAGGCTGTGCCAAAGTGCTACCAAAAGACCTGTGAAGGAATCCTTTTATAGCTTGTTGTGTAACTCTCAGAGCTGACTGGAACAAATTCCGTGCCAGAGCTATATTTTCCCACTACTGCAGGACACCGCGTAATCGTCCAGCAGCACATGTGCCTCTTAAAGTGGAACATTTTAACCTTCTACCAATTCCATTGACACAGATCACTTATCTACAGACTTCAAATTTCACTTCAAACTTCTGCCCTCCACTCCCATCCTCCATGCTGTAAATGCCTTTGGACCATTACTTTTGATACTTTAAGTACATGTTGGGTATTCCCCCAAGCTTTGAAAAATAACCAACAAAAGTGAAAGCAAATGGTCAAGTAAGCAATTCTGCTAAGGCAGTGCCCTTTTGAGCAGACTAACCTGAATGGTGGGGCTCGTGATCACTGTTGGGTGCAAAATCTCGACGTATTAACTTTTATGTATTTAAGTAGGTTCAGACCTCATCTTTAGAACATTCAGGGGAAAACCTTGGCTGTCTCAAATTTTGGCATAGAGTTAGAACCCAAGGCTGTAACTAAACTTGGTACTTATATCATTAGATAGCCGTTGAACTTGGCGGTTGTGGGTTTTTTTCTTTTACTATTTACACAGATCTTCTTTAGAAAATCATTGTATCACTGCTGCCAGCCCAACTCAGGACATCATAAATATATTATTTTCAGTCAGCTTTAAGCATTGAGACTAAGCCAATCCCTTCCCACTCTAGTGCTTCAGTGTAACTGCATAAAATCACATTTTAAAGGGGTTTTGACCCTCCTCCTCAAATAATTATGGATCCTAGAAGGATAAAATGAAATTTCCTAAGGGGTAAAGTGCTTTTGCACCAGAAGACACAGAAAAATGTTGGGTTTTTTTTTGAAATTCATTATTTATCAGGAAAAAAAAAAAAAAGATAATATTTAAAGATTTTTTTCACTCAGATGAGATTTTTTTTAAACTGTCTTGTCCTCTGACAGTTTCTTTATCACTATCCCATTAAAACAGTGAACTACTGATCTGTGGAGATTTTTTAGCCCCCTATTCTCCCCTGTTAGCTCTGTTATCTATGTAACAACTGCTTCCAGAATTCAATGCAGATTTTGATTATGTTTTAAGGATTCATTATAACTTCGGATGCATCAGTAGAAACAGAAAAGACATACTGACTTAAATTTGAATCTCTGAAACTTAGTCTGCTATCATAAACTCTTTTTGCAGTCAGTACAGAGAAATTAAAAAAAAATCGGTAAATAATTAGTCTGATCAAGGATAAATTAATTGTATCCTGAAAGCTGTTTTGGGAAACACGTACAGGACCATGGAGTTATTACCTGAAGAGTACGGTAGATTTAAATTTGGACATATGAATTATGCTTAAAGACTGGGTAGAGAGTCCAATTCATAGAGAAAAATGGAACAACCAGGCTACAAAGTGGTATAGAAGACACAGGAAAATACAGTTGGATGTAGCATTGATTTTTAGGAATTTAAAGTAGAAGTGGGCAGATGCTGTGTGGAATCCTGCATGATGAGTTGAAGAAGTGGCTGAGGGGGAAGTTGAATCAAGTTGGTTTGCTGAGGTAAAAGCTGGCATTAGACATTGCTGAATGAGAAAAGTGGCCAGTACTCTACATTAACTCATGGTTGGCAGCAAGTGCCTTGTAGGAGCGGTTAAGACAGTGGAAGTGGAATAACTGGCAGTACAGAGGTAAACCAATTTAGGCTGCCACATTGTGGCAAGATGTTACTGCCTGGGTAGAGAAATTAGTTGTAAAGGCACGTCGTGTAAATGCCCATGTACTGAAAAGTTGGGCCACCAAGGAACATCAAAGCAACCAGCAAGTGGATCGGGCTGTTAAGGTGTTCCAAACAGATTTAGAATGGGAACATAAGGATGAGGTATTTTTAGCTCAGTGGGCTCATGATGCTTCCAGACACCAGGAAAGAGATGCAACATACAGACAGGCTCATGACCTAGGGGTGGATTTAACTATGGAAGATATTGCACAAGTTATCCATGATTGTGAAACACGTGATGCAATCAAACAAGCTAAATGGTTAAAAACTTTGTGGTATGGGGGACAATGATTGAAATATGAATATTGGGAGGGCTAGCAGATTGATTATATCACAATCCCTCAAACCCACCAGGGTATATGTTACGTACTTACAATGGTGGAAGCAAGCACTAGATGGAAACATATCCTCTACCTCATGCCGCTGCTCAGAACACTATCCTGGGCCTTAAAAAGTAAATCTTGTGGCAACACTGTACTCCAAATAGAATTGAGTTGGAGAGTAGGACTCATTTCAAAAACAATCTTATAGAAAACTGGGCTAAGGAACATGGTATGAGATGGGTATATCATATTCCCTATCATGTACCAGCCTCCAGAAAAATTGAACGATACATTGGACTGTTAAAAACTACCCTGAAAGCAATGGGTGGTGGAACCTTTACAAACTGGGACAAGCATTTAGCACAAGCCACCTGATTAGTTAACATCAGGGAATCCATTAACTTAACGAACTTTTGTGTAGAAAGATAAACCATAAACTAGTGATAGATATTACATAATGGTATGGAATAAGGGGTATAATGTCCTGATTTGAGCTAGAACAGAATGAATCCTCTGTTCAGTGATTTTACTTTTCAGATGCATCTCTTTCAAGTGGCTGTGCTTTCCGAAGTTAATGTCATATTTTTTCATAACAGTGACTGCTTCTAGAAGTGATCTTTAGGGTTACTACTGAGGAATGGTGTACAGAAAGACTCTTGCTTATACTTGCTTCTATAGAAACCAAGGTCCCTGCTAGATCTTGGGCTCCATGTTGAAGTGCTGTAAGTAAAAACTCCGCACTTGCATGGAGGAGCAGATAGGACAGGTGACTGAAAACTGACCAAGTGTTCTATTCCACTCTATATATGTCATACTCAGTATAAAGTTGAGGGATCACAAGGGTTAAGCCCTCTTCTTCAATGGCCAGTGTCCGAGGATGGTTCTTCTTTCGTTCTTCTGCCTTCAATCCCAACTTGTGCATTCCTGAATCTAGTTCGTGGATCTGGTTCCCATCAGCCACTGAGTCCAGACTGGGACTTCCCCAGTGCCTGCCCTGCAGCATCAGTGGTGATGTATTGTCATAAGAGGAGTTGGATTCGATATTGGGTTTGTATATATTTATACATATTTAATTACTTGCTTAAAATTATTATCTTTTTTTTTGCTATTGTTTTATCAAAGTTGTTTCAGGTTTTTTCCAGCCTTTGAGTCTCTCTCCCTTATTTGCTTTTCTTTCCCTTTCTGGGAGGGGAGAGGTTTTGATAGAGAGCATCTGTCATTTGTCAGTGGCCAGCTCAGTGCTGACCTTTCACATATGTCACTATTATAAAATAAAATTTTCAAGTCAAAAGAAATTTATTTTTCCATTTGGTTCAGGTTTGTCTGGGTGTATAAGTATTAAAAAACCCTAAATAACTCTTCATAAACATGCATAAGAAATAGATAGCGGAAAGACACTGAGAAGAGTACGTACTAATTAGATAAATGCATAAGTTCTAGATCTAACAAATTAGTCAGTGACAATATAACATTTTTCATTAGTCTGGGATCAGCGTTCTCATCTTAAATAGAGATTTTTTTTTCAGTGACTCCAGGGGAAGCGAAGGTCTGTGATTAATGAAGAGTAACTGGGTACATATATCTGACAACAATAATCCATCCCTTCATTTCCTAAAGGAGAGATCCTTGCTTTGCAGGCTGGTAGTTCAGGTTCACACTGCTAAGCAACAAAGGTGTCTTGTCTCATTTAACAGGTGATTCCTACTTTATTCTTTCAAAGTGCGCTTGCAGGCTGATTTGCTCCAGAGAAGACCTTGGGGTCTGTGTACTAGTCAGATGAAATTAGTTAAAATCACTTAGATTCCAAGTACATCATAAGGTCGACTGTATCTCTGTGTTGAATGTTTTTTATAACCTGAACTGATAATTCTTCAGGCTGCAACTGGGCTGATAAATAAGAGGGACCAGAAAGTGAGCTTAAGCAATAAAGCCTCAGTAAAGTTTACTTACAGAAGCAGTTCTATAGTATGTTGCTCCCTTGTCCTTTTGCTAATGTTGCACCCTTGTACACTTTCAATGGGATTCAGTTCTGTTAACACAGCTGCTCAGTTACTCATCCATTATCAGAGAGGATCCAGAGGATGCAGTCGAGCATGTGGACAATGAGGAGGAAAATGCTGAGAAAGATGCGGAGGATATGGAGGATGCAGAGATATGGATGACAAGGAGGATGTGGAGGAGGAGGATGGGGAGGATGATGCAGAGGATGCGAAGGATGCAGAGGATGCGGAGGAGGCAGATGAGGAGGAGGAAAAGGAGGAGGAGGATGCAGAGGATGGGGAGGATGCAGAGGAGGAAGAGAAGGAAGAGAAGGAGCATACAGAGGATGCGAAGGAGGAGGAGGATACGGAGGAGAAGGATGTGCAGGAGGAGGATGTGGAGGTTGTAGAGGAGGATTAGAAGGAGGAGTATGTGGAAGATGAGAAAGAGGAGGAAGCAGAGGATGCAGAGGAGAAGGATGTGTAGGAAGTTGCATAGGAGGATGCGGAGGATGCAGATGAGGAGGATGTGTAGGAAGATGTGTAGGATGCGGAGGAGGAGGAGCAGGATAATGTGGAGGAGGAGGTGGTGGATGTGGAAAAGGATGTGGAGGAGGCAGAGGAGGAGGAGGAGAACGTGGAGGATATGAATGTGGAGGATGCGGAGGAGGACATGGAGGAGGAGGATACGGAGGAGGAGGATGATGTGGAGGGGAAGGATGCGGAGACGGAAGATGCAGAGGAGGAGGACAAGGAGGAGGATACATATGAGGAGGCGGTGGAGGAGGATGCAGAGGAGGAGGAGGATGCAGAGAAGGATGTGGAGGATGCAGATGAGCAGGATGCAGAGGACAATGCATAGGATGTGGAGGAGGAGGAGGAGGAGGATGTGGAGGAGGAGGATGCAGATGAGAAGGATGCAGATGAGGATGTGGAGGTGGAAGATGCAGAGAATGAGGAGGAGGATGTGGAGGACGATGCATAGAATGCAGATGAGGAGGAGGAGGATGCAGAGGAGGAGAAGCATGCAGAGGATGAGATGGATGAGCATGCAGAGGAAGACAGTGTGGAGGAGAAAGATGCAGAGGATGCAGAGGTTGAGGAGGAGGAGGATGTGGGGAAGGAGGAAGCGGAGTAGGGTGTGGAGTTGGATGATGTGGAAGAGACGGTTGCAGAGGATGTGGAGGAGGATGAGAAGAAGGATACAGACGAGAAGGATACAGAGGAGGATGAGGAGGAGCACGTGCAGGAGGGGAGGGAGAATGTGGAGGAGGAGGAGGTGGAGGAGAAGGAGATGAAGAAGAAAAAGAAGAATAAGAACAAGAAGAGGAAAAATAAGAAAATGAAGAAGAAGAGAAAGAAGAAAAAGAGGAAAAAGAAGTAGAAGTAGAAAAAGAAGAAGAAGAACAAGAACAAGAACTGCAGAGTGAGAAAAAGAAAATGCCTGGACACTGTGCAAACACTGCTCAACAACAGCCAAAGAAGTGGTGTGTTATCGACACTGTTTCAGTCACAAATTCAAAACACAGCACTGTGTAGACTGATGTGAAGAAAACTAATTCCCACCAGCCAGATGCTGTTTGGAGGACAATTAATCAAAGTAGAACTCTCATGTGACAAAAGTATATTGTATTGTATATTGCCAACAGTGTTGTAGCCAATTATGTTGTTTGTTACTAAGATAGTAACAAAGGATCTAGAGTAGTTGGGTTTGGGCTGAAACTATATGGTTTACAATGTGAAAATAAACATGTCAACCTGAAAGTGACTGTAAAAGGCTTATTATTAGTTTACTGTTAGTATTTCTAAATTTGTACTTCTATATAAAACCTAGCCATAATTTATGACTGCATTTTTCCAAATTATTTCAATTACATTCAGAATTTAGGGAAAAAAAAAATAGAAGAGATTAATATTCTAGAATATCCTACTACTGCATACTGAAAACATTCAGCTGACATAACACTTTACCGGGTTTACTCTCGGCCTTACATACTGCTACTGTGTTGAATTTATTACAGTACTCAAGCAGTAGGCAAAAGCTCCCAGTATTGCCCCTGCACTACAAAACTTAAAAGCCTTTTTTTTAAAAGAAGAGATCCTACATTCTGGAAATTACTCTCTGATCAAATTAAGATCATATCAGAACAGTTCTTTAAATTCAATATCATCATTTATGAACTGTTACCATGTGTGGGCAAAGCCAAAGCTAACCAAACAAAAATCCCAGTTATTTTGGATTGCCTGTCTGAAGCATGAAGACACCTGAGTTTTATGCTGAATTATGAGACTCTGACTTATGTATACTAATTTGAAAATATTTCTTCCCTATATTATGTTTTTCCATAATCCATAGAACGTCTTCGTGAAAGTGGTCCTACTTTTAGAGGAAAGTAGAAACTCTGCATGAGAAAAGGCTTCTGCATCTTTATGAGATTCTTAACATCCAAACTAGTTGTCTGAGATCATTCACAATTTGTTGTGGTTTTGCTAATATCTTCTCATCATATGCTAGATAACTCCAACTTTTTAAATATCTTCCTTTCTTTCAATTTTTCTGTCCATAAGCAGATTTTAGATGACTGCAAATATAAGTACTGTCCTGGTATGACAAGCTTCAAGATATTTCAAATGCAAAAGAAATGTAATTTTTTCTGCAGGCTGACTTGCCTAATTTAATTTTAGCCACCTGAAAGTTAAGTATGTGATACAAGCAACTCATCTTGGCACTCAATGTAGTTAATGGAAAGAGATGGTCTGAATGATTGTTAGACAGGTAGAGTGACTGTTCTTCCAGTTGTAAAATAATGACCTAAGACAAGTGGAAGAGACTTTCCATAATCTAGAGACAGATTTAGATGACTTAAGCTATGGATGGCTTAAACTATATAAAATGAATTCTATTTTTAAAGTCCATTAGATAACTAAGACCTAAAATTAAAATTAAAAAATGTTTAAAAATTTAGATGAAGAGTGTACATATAATTTTTTTTTACCTGGAGTAATGGATTGCAGGTATATCTACTACAAATCCTTGGCTTAGGCTTATACTATAGACAATAACTTGGTGAGCCTGCTGGCCTACTATATTAGTGCTTGACATTACTTGCAAATCAGAAAAAAAAAAAAAAAGAGAAACAAACTCATGCAAGTTTTGTTTCATTTTGTTTTCTTTCCAGCTAGTTCAGCTTGCAGGACTGAAAATGGCATGATTCTATGCCTGACTTGTTCCACTTTGTTCACATTTGAACTTGGGTTACTTCCTCCTGAAATTCTGTCTCCAAATGTCTGTTTGGATGTATCTTGTCAATCATGAGAACAGCAAGAATGGATCAAGCACAGGGAACAGGAAATGTTATATATTAATTACCATTTCTCAGATGACAAACAGGACTGACCTGATGAGCCTTTCTAATTAATTTAATTTCAGAATTGAAGAGTGTTAGTCACTGTTTGAAAGATATTTCAAATTAATATGTTAAATTCAAATGCAAACAGACTATGTGCTCTCACACAGAGCATTATGCCCATTTCTGTGGTGGGCTGACCCTGACTAGAAACCAAACACCCACCCTGCCTCTCTCCCACTCCCCCCTCTAAGAAGATGGGGAGAAAATAGAAGGAAGGCAAGAAGACTCGTGGATCAAGAGAAAGCCTGTTTAATAGGGAAAGCAAAAAGGGCACATGTAAGCAAAGCAGAAAGATAAATTCATCCACTGCTTCCCATGCAGACACATCCTGGGAAGCAGGGCCTCAGCATGCATAACAGTTGCTTAACAAAAAGCCATAACCACAAATATCCACGCATTCCTCCTCCTTTCCCTGGGATTTTATTGCTGAGCATGCTGTTTCTGGTCAGTTGAGGTCAGCTGTCCCCAGCCTACTCTTTGGTGGGGGAGGGGTGTGAGAGAAAACGTTCGCACCATGAAAGCACTGTTTGGCAACAGTTAAAACCAGCGTGCTATCAACACTGGTTTAGCCACAAATGCAAACCACAGCACCATACGTATAAGGAACATTAACTCCATCCCAGCCAGACACAGTACAATTACAATGCTAAGAAGCTATTTGTTAATGTCCTGAAACTCCTTGGTAACACACTTTGAGACCTGAATTTCTGCATGTTGCCCTAGTGCCATAATACAAAATAGCTCTCAAGGAGAGCTCAGGCTGACTTGCTTCTAGGATTGAGGTCTGGGAGGTCTCCCTAGAAAAATATCAGGTGTGACAGTGAGGGCCAGATCCTGTTAACAGTCCACACAGGTAGTCTCAGCCTTGGACACAGGAGTAGACATTTGTAATAGTGCAAATAGTATCTGTGGTACAGGGTGATGTAGTTTTTTAACCATACAGTCTTGGAAACAGAGTTTTGGATCTATTTATCTCCACTGACTATAGTCACAGTCATGAAAGTACCAACTTACCTCTTAACACTCTGCCAAAGGTTACCACTGAAATAATTTTCCTGTGCCTACCGCTCACACATGAGCTGTCCACTACTGTCACATCCTCCTACACTCTTTTCATCTGGCAACAAAATAAATGATACAAACAGATTGTGTCTTTAGAAGGCAATTGAGACCATATGCATCTGCTCAATGAATACTTGCTACTCAAATAAGTGCTTTTGTCTTCTCTAGAGAAGGCAATGATTTCCAGCTTCAGACTTGATCAGAGTGCTTCAAGTTTTCTAAATTCATTAAAAAGCCAGATACAATCCCTGAACTGCAGTACATCGATGGATTTCCATGGTGTTATCCTAAGGATCTAGGCCTTTTCCTCTCTACATGTATGTTCTGAAATGGGCAACAAAAAAGAGAAAAACTATTGTGATTGAGGTTACTATAAGGGGAGACACTTCCTCATCCTTCACAGCATATAGAAATCAGAAAACCTGATCAGTACTGTTTGGATCACCTTTCAGCACCTTCTTTATGTCTATAATACTGGTTTCAAAAAAGCACCTTTAATTCATCACAGATACTACACTGATGATGACATGAAGAATTAAATGTATTAGAGAATTGTGCGCATTCTTTTTCATCGTTGTTGTGGTGTCTTGTTTGTTTGTTTGTTTTTCTTTTCAGTCTTGGTTTTTCTTTTTTCCAGAAATAAATTTTCAACACCAACAGATGCCAGGTTACTAGAATTTCTTAACATTGCTTTTTAACATACAGGGAGATTTCTTATACTGTCTTTCCAGAAAAAGCTGTGCATCATTAAAGGAAGAAAATGTGTATTACCACTGTGATTAAATTTACAATGTATACACTCCCTTTTATAGTTGTTTGAAAGAGAGTGATATTGACATCATATAGCTCTAAGTTTATCTGCGTGCAGTCTGCAGAACCTAAGGAGATCAGTACCTTGCATACATGGCAAATTTGGTGGCCTTTCATTATGGGATTATAGCAATGGTGGATAAGGGAAAAGCAACTGACATCATCTACCTGGACTTGTGTAAGGCATTCAACAGTATCCCACACGATGTCCTTGTCTCTAAACTGTAGAGACACAGATTTGATGGATGGGCCACTGGTGGATCAGGAATTGGCTGGATGGTCTGTGCTGGGTTTGGCTAGGATAGCGCTAATTTTCACAAGAAGCTGGGAGGTGGCACAGCCGGGAAAGCCAGACCGAACTAGCCAAAGTGTACTCAATACAATACTGATGTCATGCTCAGTATATAAGGGAGGAGAGGCAGGGAGTGGCAGCAGCTAGGGAAGGCAGGCATCAGGATGCAGGTGGTGACCCATTGCGTTGTGTGTCACTTGTATATATTATTTTGTTAGCATTGTTGTTATTATCATTGTTTCTTCTCTTCTTGTGTTGTTCCATTAAAATGTCCTTCTTTCAACCCAGGAGGTTTTACCTTTTTCTCGCGATTCTCCTCCCTACCCCACCACTGGGAGGAGGGGTGAACAAGTGGCCAAGAGGTGCTTTGTTCCCTGCTAGGTGACTTTTTGGCACCCAACTTGGGGCCGAAGAGTTGAGATAACAGCAGGTCTGACCAGAGCATGTTACAACAGTTTTGTTACGCATTTGTTATATTAGTTGAATAGTCACTCGTCACCATGTTGGTTCGTTTGTTCACGTGGTGGTGTTATGTAAATTCTTACATGCTCTGCATACTCCCTGCAGTGATGTTTGTGACCTCTGGGAAAGGGATCAGGACTAGCGTTTTGCTGCACTGGATTGCCCAGAGAAGCTGTGGCTGCCCCCTCCTTGGAAGTGTTCAAGACCAGGTTGCATGGGCCTTT